ATTCACAAGATTATCGCTTTGTTGGTCATTTTGAATGGGCCCTTGGAACCAATTCATAGAGCTCAGATCATTACGAATGCTTTGATTGGCCCAAACATGCCTCACGGGGATTTGCGTTAAGGGAGGCAATGGGAAGTGCCTGTAACTGCCCCAAACACCATTGGGACGCAGCACCGACATCACCAAATCTTTTTCCAATTGTTTAGCGTACAAAGGCTCTTTAAGGGAGAACTTGGGTGCATTGGGGTCCTGAATGAGTATACCGCGGGCGACTGTGCCACCCAATTCTCTCTTTAGACAGTTTAAGAAACCAACCAAGCCTGGAAAATAAACAAAAAACAAAACGAAACAAATGAAATTGCCTTTGATTAATCTTATGGGCTTTAGTTTCTTGTTTGTTTCGTGAGACATTCGCAATAAAATCCTTTATTAATTAATATTCTTAAATTTGTTTCTTAATTATTATTAATTGTAATTGAAAAATGTCGTTCTGATTTATTGCGAATGTAAATAATTAGTATAAATTATAAAAAAAAAAGAAAAAAAAAAAAGGAAAAAAATATATACCTACATGCATTTGTGTGTGTGTGTGTGTGTACGTGCGTGCGTGCGTGCGTGAGTGCGTGTATATATATATATATACACACACATATATATATATATATATATATATATATATATATATATACACATACTTTCATTTTCTATTTTTTTTTCTTTTTTTTCTTCTTTTTTCTTTTTTTTTCAAAAGAATTATATGTTTGATTTTTCAATGATTTTTTTTTCAAGCAAATACGAAATTCACGTAACTTTATATAAATATATGTCGTCGTTGTCGTTGTCGTTGTCGTTGTCGTTGAAACGTATTACAATAATGTACAACTTTTATTTGCCCTGATTTATCGTTTTGTTTTTGATTAATGCTTAATTGAAGAAAATAACCTACCAATCTCGTAATCTTCACCAACGAAAATTACCCTCGTCTTAGCAGCATATTCCTTATTGATATCTTCAGTCAATGTCTCGTGCAATTGATCGACCCAATCGAAATTATCGTTTTTCATATAAATTTCAGACACCCTGTTAGGCACGCGACTTTGCTTTCTCAAAAGAATAAACGCTTCTTGTCCCACTCTTTTGGCCAGGAGAGCTATCAAGCCCCTCTTCTTAGCTTCATCTTCGAAATCTTTTGCCACCCCGGCATCCTCCCGCGATATTAAGAAGCCATTGTCCAGTAGACAATCGATAAGCACAGTCAGATTGTTCACGCGATCGGGTGTTAACAATTTATGGCCCACGGCTATAAATGTGTTGGCATCGGAACCTAATTTCCTTGCGTCGTTAATTAAAATGCTACTTGGCAGAGTGCTTTCTTTGATGGAGATGTCGATACCGGCAATGCTGATGTCCGACTGAATCAAGGGCATATCACTCAGAGCTTTCTGTATGAAAGGAGATAGAATGCTCTCGGAGGGAACATTGTCAGCCTCTTCAAGGAGCTCAATCGTTTTCACCTTTATCGTCTCGCTATTCTCCAAACAGATATGCGTCGTAAGCCGCGCAATTTCATCAAGACTAACTTGTGCTCCATCCATGTAAGGCACGAATTTCGATTCCTCGAGAACGGGCTCGCTAATCACTTTTTTTCGTGCAATCGCATTGGGCTTTAGGCCACGAATTTCTATGCCCCCGGCAACGATAATGTCGATATATTTGTTCGTGTAAGCAGCAAATACTGAGATAAAATCACAATAATTAATGACAATAATACAATGTGTATAATATAATGATGAAATAATCATTTATATAAATCGTGTATGTATGTGGATTATGGATATGTACAGTATTACAATACCCGTTGTAAATAAGTTGAATGTACATGACGATAATGTCTTATGATATATATATACATATATATATATATATATATATATAGAGAGAGAGAGAGAGAGAGAGAGAGGGGGAATGTAAATTTCTACTCTACTAATGAAATTAAATAAATTTGTTTTTTATCGTCATATATATATATATATATATATATGACGATAAAAAACAAATTTATTTAATTTCATTAGTAGAGTAGAAATTTACATTCCCCCTCTCTCTCTCTCTCTCTCTCTCTCTCTCTATATATATATATATATATATATATATATATATATATATATATATATATATATATATATATATAAATTTCAATATCATATAACCGTCAAATCCTACCTTGATTATCCTCGGTCATTGAGCGAATCATGTGGAGGTGAGCTTTCGTATCAATAACGAGTTTCGATATGCCCGTTGGTATGAATAAACCACGTGTATCTTTGCCTAAAAGCTGCAGCTGTAACAAATTATCCATGAAGGCGATCCAATTATTATGCCATGCGATCGTGCCTTTAGTGCCATCGGTTGTCGAGCTTAATATACTTCGAAAAAGGCCGGAATAATTGTATCCTCGAAGTCTCAGCTCTTTGTATATGTCGCGACTTGTCATTATCTCCTCTTTGTCTGATGTAACGTTCATTAGCTCAGGATCTACTCGCTCGTCGGATATATTAGTTGGCACGCGCACGTAACCAATCACCACAGCTGTGCCACTTTCAATGATTTCGAATCTCCCAGTACCTATCGATCGAACATTAAATGCAAGCTAATGAAGGATTTATCACGCGTCAGTATTTATCATGTGCAATGTGCAATGTGCGAATATCGAATTTACCGTTACAATGTCACTTGGCCTCGGTCACGATACTCCCATGGAACGTTCGTAAACTCGCGACGAGTCAAAGAGACTTTAGCAAGAATATATTACTTTTTTTATTTAACGTTGATATAATTTTAATAATTAATATTTGATTTCATATATTTAGTATTTCTTAATCGCAGTGAAGCCACTAGGCTTCGAGACAAAGAGCGTATTGATTTCAAATTATACTCGTATAATTGAATTTTCTCAACAAAAAAAAAAAAAAAAAAAAAAAAAATTTTAGAAATTTGAAAAAATGATAATAATCGAGCCACGTGCAAACTCATGGTTCATTGGTCGATGACGAAAGTGCGAGCTCACCCTTCTGAATCATAACGATGAATTCGATGAAACCGTCTTTAGTGAGGGTCGTGGCTCTGAGGAACCTTACGTCCTCGAACACGATGGGGACTTCGGTGTAAAGCTCCCCACGCATCATACCAATGGTTTCCCAAATAATACTCAAATATCCCGTGGCAGGGAAGAGATTCCTTCCGTCTATAACGTGCCCCTCCATAAACTCAAAGTCCTCGTCGGAGTAGGTGACACGTACCGCTCGCTCGCCCGACGTGATTTTCTCCTGGAGTCTGTAGGACGTGACGTACCAGTCGTCGGTGTGTATCCACTTGATGTGTGGCGAGATCATGGGCGTCGTGCGGCTCACCGGATACGAGACGCGTGGATATAATTTGTCTATTTGAAACGGACAATTTGTCCTTTAATCGTCAAATTTGCTTAGCCACGACAATAAATTTAACGCTAAAACCAAGGGATAATTAGCGAGGTCCATTCTAAGAATTATTGGCAGGAGCTATTGGGAATGCGTAGGCATACGGATAGGCGTACACGCTATAGCAGCGATTACTTACCAAACTGAGGATGGAGTCCGGAGTTGAACATTTGTCCAAGTCCCACGGCGAGCATGTCGACGTTGTCTGGGTGCTCTCGCTTCGTTAGGGATATGTTGGTAATGGTAGGATCGAGGGACCGTCGCAGGATGCCCTGGAGAAGACCGTGTGGCGCTATTTCAATGACGATGGCGTCCTTGGGTATGAGTTGGGCAGTCTCATGGAACAATACGGGATTGAGGAGATTGTTGGTGTAGTATTCGGCGGACGAGAGTCGGGCAGCCGTGGTGTTCCACTTGTCACGTGGCACCGATGTACTCAACCACTTGGAGCTACGGGGTTTCGGCGCGGGGATGACTTTATGCATGTAGGCGAGTAATTTGGGACCTGCGGCAGCGATGTAGCGACTGTGGTACGGAATGTTGCTGCATGGCACTTCTTTTGCGAAAATGTCGTTTGCCTGTTAAAGTACGTCGTGCTTTTATACGTGCTATCTTCGTTCGTGCCGTGTCCCTTTGCCGACCGTCGATTAGAAATCTCTAGCGGAGCCGCGATCGAGGCATCATCGATCGACCATTAGACATATCATCGGGAGATTAAATTAGGAGCATCGACTGACGCTTGGACACCACCTTGGACGCCACATCTACTTATTTCGTTCTTTTCTCCTTTTATTTTTTTTCTGTTCTTTTCTTTGTTTCTTTTTTTTTTTGTTTTTTTTTTTTTTGTTTTTCTTTTGTTTTTCTTTTGTTTTTCTTTTGTTTTTCTTTCGTTTTTCTTTTGTTTTTCTTTTGTTTTTCTTTCGTTTTTCTTTTTATTTTTTGTTTTTCAACGAGAGTAAGGCGCGCCCCATCGTGAAAGCACGACATCGAGTTAATCGAGCTTACGGTAATGCTGCAATTTTCAAAACCCCGAGTCGTTAAAAGTACGGATGGCAAAGCGACACGGCACACACGGACGATAAGGGAAATGGCGCGTCGTACTTGCAGTTTGGCGACAAAATTCTTCATGGACTCTGCGGGGCCACTGATTGTCGTGTTGTCGGATGCGTTATAGCAGGCGATTTCTATATCGGGCGGACACATCGCTCTGAGATCCTCGGAGCCAAGGCCAACGGCTGCCATCGAGCCGTGCACGAACTTCGTCTCGATGGATGCGAGGCCACGGGAGTAAGCCGACAGGATCATCTGCTCCGTTGTTAAGCAGTCGTCGGCGTAGGCACAGCCCAACTCGCCGACCGAGTGGCCGATCACGTTGTCCGCTTCGATGTTGACGGATCGTAGAACATCCACGAGACCGATCTGTCGATCGAAGCATTTTCATTTTCTCCAATTAATCGTGATCGTTTGCTTGAAATCGCTTAATAAATTGTTCGTTAAAGTTAATAATCGGGAGCGTCAGATGGCTATTGCTCGTTAAGCACGAAACAATTATCTAATTATCATGAATTTTTATTTGTTTTTTTTTTTTTTTTTTGTTTATTTTTGTTTGTTTGTTTTGTTATGTTTTGTTTTGTTTTAAAGGCGAAGGTTAGAGGTAGTAGTAGATAAATTTGATGAATTAAGAGAAAATGGATGTGGCTATGTCACTATTCTTGGTCGGACATTTTCACATTATCACATTTTTGCAATTATCGATCTTCGTTGAAATCCTACGAGGAGAATTTATTATAATGTAAGGGGAGCATGTTTATTGTGATTTTTAAGCATCGAAGAAGCCTGCAATGTAATTTTAAAGAATGATATAATCATCCGAACAAGCTCACGGACGAAACGAAATTTATTTGCAAAACAAACTGTTAATTACGCATACTTTCTATAAATTATATATAGAGCAACGGTAAAAAAAAAAAAAAAAAAAAAAAAAAAAAAACTAATATTAATTATAATGTTACCTGAATAGCGGCAATTCCAACGAACGAATGTAAAATGTTGTCGAAAATTGCTTTATCCTTCTTCGTAATTATATTTACGATATCGATATTGTGGGGCTTCAGAGCTGCATCGCATCTTCTTATTGCCTCGGCAAATACTGGCAGACGCATCAGCGACTGGCCTGTAATAAAAATTCGAAGAATAAACAATGACACATTGTCGTTTAATCGGGATTAAAAGACGCTGACGTAAGGGATGAAGAAGCTTACCCATTCCTGGCCACTGAGATCCCATCCCGGAAAATAGGAACCAAACGGGCCTCTTCGTTCCCAGGTAGTTTTTAATTTCCCTTCTTGGCTGTTCAACGTAGCCACGTGGAGGCAAGATAGTGTAGCCACGAAATAGGTGGCCCTTTATACCCTCCGAATGAATGTCGTGAAAAAGTTTTACATATTCTACGTCCGTCACTCTGCTTTCAATCTCGAATAGGCAAAACACAAAAACAAAACAAAAAGATCAATTACAATTAAAAGCACTTATTAGGACACAAATTAGGAAAGGCAAAACCATAATAATCATTGGGCGTTCCATAAGCAATTTTACTACCATAAGCAGCACCGTAGCTCCTCAATGTAAATTAAAACTCAATGTAAATTATACGTCTGTGTGTGTATATATATATATATAAATAAACATATATATATATAAACATATATATAAACGCAAAAACTAAATGAAAAGACAAGAAAAGAAAAGAAATGAAGAGAATGGCAAACAAAAAAAAAAAAAAAAAAAAAAAACCCCTTCATTGTCTATATTATTTACGTAGGCTAGATTTATGCACACCAAGGTTTGCTCTAGCACTTACATCATCCAAAAGAGCAATCACCGCTGCTTCCGTACGCCCGGACACACCCACCACTCGGGGCAAATCGTCATTCGGCTGTCCATTGTTAACCTTCTCTTTGGTCCAGGATTTGAGAAGGATGTGAGCGTTTGCTCCGCCAAATCCAAATGAATTTATACCAACTAAGCCGCCGTTCCAGGGCGTCGGTTCCGTAACAACCACAACTCGATTCTGCTCTAGAGCCTCGATTCCCTTGCGCTTGTTCTTAAGATGTAAGTTTGGCGGTATCAAGCCAGTTTCCATCCCAATAATGACCTTCGATCGGAAAAATTACCATTTCAATTTAATTCGTCAGTACGGCAATTTGAAAGTGATGTCGAAGGAAGAATGCATAATGGCGGGGCGCCAGTCGATATTTCGAGTATTAAAAGAAAGTCGCGTCGAGTAGTAAGAGAAGTAAGAGATGGACAAATCGCCAATGATAATGAAGTCCGATAATTCCACGAACCTTGGCGACGGAGCAGAGTCCGCTCGCTGGCTCGGAGTGCCCCAAGTTGGACTTGATCGAGCCGATGTAGAGGGGCTCCTTGCGATTGGTACAGAAGATCTTGTCGATCGCGTTCAGTTCCTCGGGATCGCCGACACTCGTCCCCGTCCCATGGGCCTCGACGAACTCCACCGTGCTCGGTGGTATCTTAATCTCCTCGTAGAATTCCTTGAGGAGGGTGGCTTGCATGACGCTCGAGGGAAAAGTGATACCCTGCTCCTTGTAGCCGTCGCAGTTCGTCTTACTGTGGACGAAGGTCGCGTAGATACGCTTCGCGTCCTTGGCCTTCTGCAGGAAGACCACGCAGATGGCCTCGCTCCTCGCGTAGCCGTTTGCCGCCTCGTCGAAGGACTTGCATCGTCCGTCCGGCGATAGCACACCTTGTCGTTGTTTAAAAATACCTTACATTACAACGGCTCCTCCTCCTCCATTATTCCATCGGCATTCGAGAAGGCGCCATGCTTTTGAATTCGTCGCGCCAAATTCTTATTGGAAAATGCTACTTATCAAGTAACCGAGAACTTCGTATCGCTTCGTATGTATACAAAATGCTCTCTCGTATACCATGGATCAATCAACCGTCACCATCTTAACCACCGTCCCTCTACCTTAATTGCAAATGGCTAACAAAGTCAACGTTAAGTAAACGCCAATAATTTCACATTGTCAACTAGCGATTGTAGCGCTCGTCTCGCGATACAAAGATTAGGCATTGAGAGACCGACCGAGCTTTCCATTTTCCAAAGCAAGCAACTTTCGATAAACGATTTTTGCACGACGTGTAATTCGCGTAATGCAGCTTAAAAGTCAGAAGCCTTCGCGAAGCCGAATGTCTCTCTGGATAATGACCCGTGGGACCCTGGGGGCTAAAACTGGGGGATAATAAGGGCGACACGTTAATCGAAATCTTAAAAGTCAACGATACCCAGTCTGGAGAACTGAAGCGAGACGTAGGGATGGAGGCAGAGGTTGACGCCACCGACGATCGCGCTCTCGCACATGCCGTCGTTCAATGCTCGGTAGGCGTGTTCCATGGCGAAGAGGCTCGAGCTGCAGGCCGAGTCGACCGAATAGCTCGGCCCAGTCGCGCCCAGCCAGTAGGAGATGCGATTCGCCAACATGGCGCGACTGCAGCCCGTGATACCCAGCCCGTTGATCTGCAATCATTAATCCTCCTCTCAGACACTGCTGACGCTGGTTCTTTCTCCCCATCCCCATACTCATACCCATACCCATATCCGTAACCCCCCCCCCCCCCCCCCCCCCCCCCCCCCCCCCCCCCCCCACACCCCCCCCCCCCCCCAGTTACCCATTCGCAATGACCGTCGCGTTCGCGAGGAGTGGCTGCTCCTTTGGTATTCCATACATACTATTGCATATATTTGCGTAATTGTCCATTCGAGAGAGCGAAAGAGCCATTTTGTCTTAATAAGGAGTCTCCTAGTTAGCTAGGAGTTTCCTTTATATAAGTAAAAGTGCAAGCCTCTCTCTCTTTCTCTCTCTCTCTCTCTCTCTCTCTCTCTTGAAAATTTTATTCGCTCGACAGAACATTCCATTCTACCAAGCTTTCGATGCGTTTAAAATTTTACGCTCAAATAGCACGAGCGCGTTAAACAAATGCTTTATCCTACTTATAAAGTGTTCGTTATGTATCGAAAATCCATATGCACGACACGGGACGCGAGTATCAATTTGAAATTTAAAAAGTTGCCAAACCTTGTAGTTTGTGCATATTCATGGCTTACGATGAATATGTACTCGTTCATTGGGAATATCAATCATTAATGAGTTTTTTTTTGTTGTTTTTTGTTGTTGTTGTTGTTTGTTGTTGTTGTTGTTGTTGTTGTTTTTGTTTTTGTCTTTTGTTGTCGTTGTCTTTTGTTGTGGTTATTGTTGTTGTTGTTTTTTGTTGCATATTTCCTAAAGATTTTAAAGCCTCATCTAAACGTTACGAACAACGAATATACAAGATTATTTAACGCTCGAGTGGCTTGGAGTGGACCGACGGACCAACACACGTTAAAAATCATCCTGCCCAGGAGACGTCATCTTACGTGTAACTTTTCATAGAACCAAGTCTTCTCCGACTCGGAGAAGCAGGCGCCAATGAATACTCCAGTCTTGCTGCCGCGAAGCTGTCGCGGATTTATCCCAGCGTCGATAATGGCCTCGTAGGTGTGCTCCATCAGAATCCGGCACATCGGGTCCATCGTGTGCGCCTGCTTAAAGTGGACACCGAAGAACGAGGCGTCAAACTTCTCCAAGCCATTGATTTTTCCCACGCTCTGTGGGATTTCCGGGTGATCTGTGCGAGAGAAGAAGCAAAACTAAGATTCCCTACGTGACCTTCTCACAATGGGGGTTGCTTCGAGGTCATTAGGAGTTACTATTACTCTATTACTATAAAACTGTCGTTTGCCCTGCATTATCACGAGTCCTCGTTATCTATTACATGATGAAAGAATATTTTTAAAAGTCAGATTTCTTTTAACGATGTATGGAATTGTATCGATCGACGTAACATGGATATAAATTAAAACTTATTTTTAACATAAAATTTAGTGTATCGTTCGTCAAAGAAAAGAAACAAGCAAATTAAAAGAAAAAAAAATGTCGACTCACTTTTGTTCGGAATTTTTCTGAAGAACTTCATCATTGTTAAATATATATATATATATATATATATATAATACTATAAAAAATGTATATATAAATAATACGCAAATGAATAAATTAATTTATTTAATAATAAGAAAGAGTGGTTTTTCAATCATATAAAATATAAAATATCGCAAAATTGTATTATAAATCGATTTTTGTCATATTTTATTAACCTTTTAACACATATCATATTATTATAACATTATAGGGACGTTTATAAAAGATATAATTTTTTGACAATGAAATAAAATTGTGCGTTTACGTAAAGTATTATAATAGTAATGAAATTTCAGAATTCCAATCGTCTATTGGAACGAGAAAAAAAGTTTAATAAATAATATAATAATTCTCTAAATATTAATAGCAATGTAATAATCCATTTATATTATTATAATTATCCGGATATTTGCTTTTATTATCTATTAAAAACAAAAACAAAACAAAACAAAAAAATGTAATAATTAATGATAGTATAAAAGAAAAATGATAAATGTGTTATTATTTCATTTGCTCTGCTCCAATTCTGCTTCTAATGTTATACAATTATTATTATTTAGAAAATAAATTATTTTTCGCATTTTTCTTCCAATGTTACGATTTAAAGTACATTAACAATTAACGAAACTGAATATTTTAGAAATTTCTGGTTAAATTTTTTTCGTTCAAGTACTTTTAATCGAACACAACTGAATCGAAAATATACAAATTTATGTCTTTAAAAAATAAATTCTGTATATAGAAACACAATTAAATTCAATTAAATTAATTCAATTATAATGTCTGATGATGTCTCTAGTGATGATGTAAGTATGATATGTCTCATAGTATGTTCCATCTCTATTTATTAAATTTCTACTTATAATTAGGCTGTTTTAATTTATATTTTTTTTTGCCATCGTTTATGCAACGTATTAGTGTTGTCAATAAAAAAATTAAATTAATCTTATCATAAATTATCATGATTATACTTACTATATTATAAAATATCAAAACATTTAATTAAGAAAAATAATTTATTTCATTATTTTTAATATTATTTTATATATATTCGTATATTATTCCTTGACTTGAAATAACCTAATCAATCTGATTCAACAACTTGTTTGCAATTATTCCTACGTTATTTATAATAAAACCTTGTTAATGGATTCGATTAATTTGCAGCATCAAACAATACGTGAATAATCTAATCAATAAATCCAAGTTCATACGTTTTTCCTTTCGTTTTTTTTTTTTTTTTATAAATTCTTTTCTTATATTACTTTTTTACGGCTGTAAATAAAGTAACTCAAAGCATAATGTAACGTTTTAATGCAATATTACGTTATGCCAAAAATAGTAAGTTAGAATGATTAATTATTGGTTGTAGTTTAAAACAACAGCTTCGTGATTTAAATGTGATTTTAAAAAAATAAAATTAAAAAAAAAAAATTAATGCACATCTTAAAGTCTCGCGAGAACATTTATGCACAATTAAAATAGTTAGCAACAAATAAGCAATAATTTAACAAGTAGATAAATGCAAAAAATTTGAAGCTCCATCGATCCAATGACAACCCACTAACGTTTTCTTTCTACCACTTAAAAATCTCATCCTTTAAAGCGTTAATTATCATTGATTTTATTTAACGGTCAAACTGCCCCGACAATCCCTCAAACAATAAGCGTCTATAAGTCAAGGACTTACCTAATTGCCAACGACGGTCGTCATCCGTTACGAGATCAACCTTATTCATAAGATTATCACGCAACAAGTGAATGTTATCAGAGTCGGGAAATCTGCCCGCTATACCACTGATAACAATCTCATCTCTGGGTTCAATTTTCACCGGCATCTTTAATACGTTTTTATACCCTTTATTATTAGTGTAATTCAAGGCACTTTGTCAAACCCTTTGTTTTTGATAAAAATTGATAGTGTTCACTTATCGCAGCACAGGAGGCACAGGACGTTCCGGTTATCCCAAACGTTCGTGCTCGACGAAGAAGAAATTGTAATACAAATTAGACTGAGCACGTAAACATGAGAGTTCAAATTTCCGCTTGATTTCCAAAAATTGACGCCACTGGAAAGGGGAGGGTGAGAAAATGATAGAATAAGTATGCGAACGTAAATGAGTGTCTGATAGAGCGTGCAAGTGAGAATCAGTAATATATATATATATATATATATATATATATATATATATGCGTGTGTGCGTCTGCGCGCGTGTGTATGTATGTATAAAGAGAATAGAGAGAGAGAGGGAGAGAGAGAGAGAGACAAACACACACACCTCGCGGCACAAATATAATGAAGGACCGCGAGCGCGCAACTAAACGCTGCGTTGGCAAAATTGAGCCTTTTATAACAGCGGTTTTCCCATAGTGAAACCCCTGCATTAAAATTTCAAATTTAATCATTTTAAGCGGATTAACGAATTGCCATCACCTCTCACATTAGATCCAATCGCTTTTCGATTCTTCTATAATACTCTTTCTTCCTTTCCTTTCTTCTTTTTTCACGTTCTTCCCTTCCTCTATAATACACCGATGTGCATTCGATAAGGTAAATCATGTATTGTTTTATCGACCCGAGGTCATTAGATAAGTATTTTGCGATTTGCTGTTTTATCCATTCAAGGGGATACCAATACAAATTCTCATTTAAGTTGATTAAAAAACAGCTGGATACGAATTATAAATAAGAATTTTAGACAAGAATAATAAATAAGCTTGCGGAAAAATATTACTGATCGAGTCATTCAAAATCACGTTGTGGCTTCATAGAAATTTCATTAGTTGGTTTTTTTCAAAAGTTTTCACTAATTCTTATCTTAATATATATATATATATATATATATATATATATATAAATTCTTATCTTTGGAAATACATTTGCAATTTAATAGTGGCTACGAAATTATTTTTTGATTGGCCAAGTTTTATAAAAAACACCAAAATAAATAATAAAAATTTAAATAACATATGGAGTAATAAGGTTAATTCATTTTTTCATTAAATATAATTTATAAAACTATATTCATTAGTTATATCTAACGTATTTAAAAAAAAAAAAAAAAAATACCTGTAATATAATAATGTAAATATTCATTTATTTCATAGTATACATTAAAATAATAATATTTTCAATAAATTTTTTTAAACAATCTTACATCTACTCAATAAAATATATAAATTAATTTTTCTTAAATTATAATTTTTTTTTTCCTAATATAGATTCATATATTTATTGTTGATGATATTAGTAACGTGAGCATAATTTATAATATTCATAAGGAATATTGATTAATTTTTATTTTACAAAAAGTAAGGAATATCTTGAGATTTTGAGATATCGAGTAAAAATAAATTTTCACCTCATTATTTGTAATAAGGAATAGTTGAAAATTAATAATAAAAAAAAATTTAATAATTGTAAGCTTTTTAAATGCCGTGAAATTATGCTTATATCAATTACTTTTATTTATTTGCAACAAATATTTTTAAAAATTATGTAAGTATTTCTCGAAGAGTAGTAAAATTTTTGAATGAAGGAAATGTCATTAAAACTATTCGTATTTATTATACAAATTGCTTAATATCACTTTATATTCTTCCTTGCATTACACAAAAGTTGAAAAATATTCGAATGAAGAATTTTGAAAAATATAAAACAATAAGATCTTTCATTTTTATATAAAATTATTATCTATATTGTTTTATGGTTTGCATAAAATTTCAGAGAAAAGTGTATGTATGATTCAATTACGGCAAATGATTTGCAGTTTCCGGGTTGTATTGTTCAAATAAATAATTTCATCTATTCGATTGTTATAGAACTTTCAAAATATACATAGTTGTGTCGATATACAAATTATAATTTAAATTATTACTCAATTATTAATTAAGCATATATTAATTAAACTTATATAAAATTTCTTTTTAATTTCTTACAAAGCTGAAATTTATATATTTTTATACTTATCGCAATTAATTGACATCTATGAATTCAATTTTCAATATATTCAAAAATATATGCTCTAATGAGTAAATGAATTCATATTATTCCACTAATCTCTCGTCATTGTTAATTTATTTCAAGATTATCGATTATTTGATAAATTTGATATAATAATGAAAGATTGAAAACAAAATTTTTTGACTAACTTACAATTGTACTCGAACTTTTATAAATTTAATTCGTATATGTTAACAAATTGAATTATACACTTCATGGAAAACTTGATTTCATATCATTAATAATGTTAAATACTTAATAAATGATGACACGAAGGTATAAATAAGCGGAGAAGTGTAAATTCGTCCAATTTTTAGTTACGTTAATTATTGTGATAATTAATAATATTAGATTTTGAGTAAAATTTTATATAAAAATTATAAGTATTTTAGTAAATTTCAAGAGAATAAGTGTTTATAATAACTATTTCTCAATATTATATTTCGTTTTGCTTAAATTTAAATACATTTCTATTGCCAGATAATTTCAATTCTAAAATGTTAAATTTAATATTGCGTAAACAAAATTTATTTTATAGTAGAAAATGAGTCTTACAATAAATAATATTTGCAGTTTAAAATATTTGTTAATCTTACATATCAATCATTATAAATCATATATATATATATATATATATATATATATGTTTTATTAATATTTACAATAGAATAACAGTAATATTAAATATAAAGGCAATTTTAAAAAAGAATGATAATTGCTTTTTACATAAGTATTTCACACATATTTCTATATTATTCAATATGTGAAAGGAAATTGTTCGAAAAATAATCTATTAATAATGTAAGTTATTTGAGATAAAGAATATTGATAAAAAATGTTTAAAAAATTTGTAATTTATATTTACAGCAATATACTCGAGAATTAAGTTTTATATAATTCAATGTCACTAAGAGAGATTCTACTTACTAAAGCATAATATTCGTCTATATTTACGTGAATTAAGATTCAAACTACTTAATTTAAAAGAAACATTCAAATGTAGTTTAGAAAGAAAATTTAGAGAAGAATATTTTATATAAGCGTGTTTATGTAGAAAGAAGCAATTAGAAGGAATTTAAAAAAATCGCCGTATGCTTCATTGTCAATTTCTTTTAAATCACACTTAGGAAATAATAAGTAAGCAAAACCTAATTTGTATTTAAGTAAAAATGGTTATCCTTGCCCTAGAAAAGGTAAAATTATAATAAATAGATGTCTTAATTTTTTTAATGACTTGAAATGGATAATAAATGAAGGAATATCGCAGATGCATTTGACCATTGCCGTATATAAAATATACACGACAAAGTTTTATTTAAACTTTAACCTATAATATGAATTATTTATTCGTGTAAAAATATTCCACTACAGCTACAAGTTTCATTACAAATAATTTATTTGTATTATACGCATAAAAATGATAAGTTTTTATTTATTGCAATTTAATAAACAGTAGTACATTAATGCAAATAGTGTTTATGTGAGCATTGAAATTTAAAAAAATTAGGCGATAGTTATTGCTTCGATTATTAGCAATTAACAATTTTTCTAAACTAATTCCATAATATATAAAGAAATAAATTTTATTCTATTACAACTAATATGATAATAATAGCCAGGAAGTATTGTAGTTTCTCTTAATATCTCTAGCTTCATTTCTAGTTTTACTAGAAGAATTGTTAAATTTTACAATGAGACGGTTATTTTAGATTTTTTATCTCATCTATATTAGTACTTTTATTTCATTTTTATTCAATATAGCTTTAGCATCGACAGTATTTTCAAATATTTTTTAACAAGTATTAAATATTTGATAACCCATAAGTTATTCTTGATATTTTTACATGACAACAATATTGTTCTACATACGATAATGTTATTATAAATTATAATAGGTTCTTTTATATATTATATACACATACGCATATATATATATATATATATATATATATATTTAAAACGGATTTGTTCAAGGTTAAGCGCATAAAACATAATAAATAAATCTTTAAATTTCGAAGTACTTCCATTTCGTTGGATTCGAGTTACTTTATTTTTATGGTTTATATAATTACCGATTATAAAAATATGTTAATTAATATAGTAAATATGGAATTTAAATTAAACAATGTAATGAAATTCTCGATTCTACACACAATAGCGTCATTAAAAAATATATATTTTATAAACAATACACAAGCACAGCTTTCATATAAAACAACTATTTAAATTCATTATAATAATTAAATTGTACAATGTAAATTAATATCGATTTACAAATGTAATAATCGAGAATTAATTGTGAAAGGTAAATAATATAATTCATGCAACATACATTTTATTGCTTAAATGTTATTGAGTTATGAAGTTTTCGATGATATGACAATTTATTTTCAGGATATGAACTAGGACATTTTGATTAATAATTTAAACTTCTATTAAAATTTGAAAATCATAAATTGTTTACTTTAACACTTTTATCAGTAATATAAGCATTGAAAAGTAATAGTAGTAGTAGTAGCAATAATAATTATTATTCACGCATGTTAACAATTTTCCATTTAAATCTCTATTTAATATCAGATATTTAAGATACGAGAGAGATTTTTAAGTAAAATATAAAAAAATAGAGTCGAAATATACTTAATAAATGTAGATTTTAAATAAATAATTAGAAATGTATTTTTACTAAAGATCAAATAGTTATTTTATATCATTATTACGCAATACATTATTACGATTAATTTTAGATCATATTATTTTGAAACTTATATAATAAAAATGAATCGATATAATTTACTATATCGAAAGGATGTAGATTATTACTATAATATTCAAAATCTTCAATTATTCAGCATATACAATTATAATAAATACACTCATTGAAAATGTTAACAATCGATTAAAAAAAAACAAAAAAAAAACAACAATAGTAATTTTATACTTCGCATTCAAGTTAATTTTAGAAAATACTTGCAAAACTACATAATTACAACAGCAAAATAAAATACATTCGATTATAATAAATGTATTGTCGTTATATTCTAGATAAAAGAATCTAATTACCATTCTAAGATAGATAAAAAAAAAAAAAAACGTATATTAAAAAAAACGTCATAAATTTTATGTAGTGGATCATAAAATTATATATAAATAAGGAAGAAATAAAATAAGCAAAGAGTCTTAACTTTCTTTCATTGTACTATAAAATTCGCTAGTCTACGGTTATTCCTAATGAATATGTATTGATGCACAGATACTAGACAGTGTCAAGGACTAGCGGAAGTCGCATTGAATCGACATTGTATTACGTATTTGTAATCTTGATTGTCTCACTTTTTCATTGCAAACTGCTTTCTTTCATAACAAGATATGCTGATAAATTTTTTAAAATTTCTGTAACCATTGTCAAATGGTATACGATTAAATTAAATTTGTCTTTAAGACTTACATTTCATTTAATAATATATATATATATATATATATATATATATATATATATATATATAATAAATTAATCAATGAGAATTTTCAGGATTGAAATTAAAGATGAGAAATTTTGTTAATAGATTTCCTATAGCAGATCACACAGCCATCCAAAACTTTAAAATACGCAGTTTAAGTTTTCAAGTAACTTTTTATACTTTTAATTATCCATAATTGATCTCGATTATACATAAAAATAGTTTCTATATAAAATTACTAAAATTATTGTATTTTGAAAATTAGCTCAAGTGATTTTTAAATTTCTATACATTTAAGTACTCTACTATTATATTTTTAAATAATTTTAAAAATATTTAATAAAGCATTATTAGAAATTTTATAATAATATTTAGCAATATATTGTAAATAAAAAAATTTTTAAGATGAAATTTGAATATATTTGTACAATCAATTGTAATGTCATTTGCATATGACCCCAGTGACTATATAAATATTGAAGAACGACAAAAACTCCATGATTTTTTTATTCTCTTTTTCTTTTGAGTTCTCTCTCTTTCTCTCTTTACCCTGCCCCTCCCCCCCGCCCCCCACCAATCTCTCGCTAGCTCTTTTGATGATTTTTTTTTTCTTTTTACTTCTTCGTCTTCTTTTGCTTTCGATATACGCCTGCATTTAGAGAAGAGCCGAAAAGTTCATTAAATTGCGAACTTTATCGAGTTCTCTAATGTATGTATAGAAATAAATAATTGAAAATTTTATTTTAATTCCTTATTGCGAAAAGAATAAACTATTATTGTGAGAACTGCAGTTTCGATTTATTGGTATACATTGAATAGATAAAATAGTTAAGTAGAGCAAAGTATATAATAGTAAGAGAATATTTTATAAGCAAGAGATAGATAGAGAGAGAAAGAGAGATTGTGTATTAGAGAGAGAGAGAGAGAGAGACAGAGACAGAGACAGAGAGAGAGAGAGAGAGAGAGAGAGAGAGAGTATTTATGAAACAAAATATGAAAAAAAAAAATTTATAATTTCAATTAAAATGTTAGCATACTACCATACCATTATTTTAGGCTCACAGTAAAGTTTGATTGGAAAATTTTAAACTTTTATACGAATATAATTTAAAATTGAAATGCCCGTTTTATTAGCGATCTTTTGTCGAAATTTTTATTATTAGCTAATGCAAGTAGTAGGTAAGGAAATTAATTGGTAGCCATTTAGGAAAATAAGGATGGGCACAAGAAGCAGAATAATGTAGAAAGAAGGGATGATATTAACAACTATTACTAACAAATTCCATGATGCCAACTGACTTTGGCCGAACTCTTGCAATTCAGCCACTGAAATTTTTAGATAAGCAAAGTTGAGCCGTATCGACTGGGTTCGTTAGTGGTTGGCTCCAGTGCTCGGCTTCAACGGACTTTACCAGGATTCAATGATCGAGCGACGATCGAGACATCTTAATTTAACGAGTCAACGAGCAGCACCGAGACTACATATATTTATATTGCATTACGTGTTACATTTTTTGCAAGCGCATGAACATACACCCATTCAGCCATCCATACGTACCCTCGAAAAATCATACAAGTCTATTCTAAAGCCGCTCGACTGCCACATTCGTTTCTTCAAAAAGGTGAAGGAGGAGGAGGAGGAGGAGGAGGAGGAGGAGGAGGAAGGAGGAGGAGTAGAGAGAAGGGGAGAGAGAAAGTAGAATCGGTGGTGAGACGACTGCCTAGAAGAACCTCCAACTCTCGTTTTCCGCCAACTCCTTGTTCTCCGTTGGTTGTCCACTCTCTCTCTCTCTCTCACACACACACGCACACACACGCACGCACGCACGCACGCACGCACCGTGATGTTCGATTCATGAAATAAATTTGGAGCACAGTATACGCCGTCTAATTGCTGGTTAAACTAAATTTTGTATTTTTTGTTCATTCTTCCTCTAAGCAGACGACATTTAAGTAAAGAGCCAAACAGCCTGATCGAACAATGTCAACATTACATTAATATTTTATACAAATAAACGGTTTGTTACCTAACTAAGTGTGCAGTTGCCCCCTTCAGATTCTCCATGAAACTTGTCTGAAACTTCTGCCTTCTTTATCGTACTATTATATCTTTACTCGATATAAGACATTGTGAAAGAAAAATTAAATCAGTTCTCGATAATAGATCCTCGACGATGAGATATCATAGGGAAATTGTGAAATATGTGCGTGCGTGCGTGTATGGTCAAAGCCCGGAAATGTCATGCCTGTAATATAATTATTATTTGTCCGTGTCACCTTGTACCGATGCTCGTCTATTAATCGATAATAGTTTTATTCCCTTACCAGAATTCATGTTGTAGTATCGTATTATGCGGCATTAATGATAGGATAAAACGTCACTACGCAAACATTTACAATTAAAACCAATTTTCGAATATTTTTATTTTTTCCATTGCTTACGAAATTCCCGAAAGAGATACTTACAAATGTTGTATAGAAAGATTTTTTCTATCAGCATATTATGATACGATTATAATTAAAATTATGATTATATCAATTATATCCTCCTCTACTTACTAACGTTAAAAATTTCATTTTACCAATATGAAAAAAGTAAATATGATTTACGCATTGCTTAATTATCACAGCATATACAGTGGCTGGGAGGTTTTGTAAAAATTTTCATTATAAGGAGGAATTAATTAAAGTGAAAATGACATTTCACGTGACATGTTTTTAATTGTGAAAATTTAACGTTGTCGTTTACAAATTTCACCGGCATTTACTGCAAATTAACAATTTATTGATCGACTGAGAAATTGCTGTAAAATAATGATTATCGACGGATCGATTGAATTATAATGTTAACGATTCAATAGCTTCATTGTTCGTCTAGAATAGTTGTAAAATTTTAATAACAACATTAAACAACAAAGCGCCGATGTATTTAAAATTATTGTGATAAAATTTGATTATATCAGGTGATATTATGGGCCTCTTATTGGATTAATTAATTAATTAATGAGCCATAATTTCATTAACTCGATATCGTTTCATCAATTTTCTCTCCATTAATGACAGCAGCTACCCTTTCGTCATCCAGCATTGTAACGTGATTCCCATCCACGTAATAAACATCTATCTTACCGCTCGTCACCTAGAAGCAAATTTTTCATGTATGAGCATATAACATTGTACGTTATACTTGGCTAACCATTGCTCTTATATCTAACATTAATATGATAATTTTTTAGCTAAAGTGGGGCAATAATTTGTTAAGAGACGGTGAGAATGAAGCTTCGATAAATTGTTATGTATCGAAGTGTCAAGCTGACTTCTTTCAATGCTTATTGTAACTGAGAAATAATACGTGGTTAATGAGCACCTTTGAAAGGCCATAATTTTCCGTTGTGACGAGGCTCGGCGTAGACGGCTTCAACAAAATCATTGGAGCTTTGATCCGAGATAGTCGAGAAATGTCATAATTTCTTGCGGCTACTAGCCTATTATAAATAGACGTGCATATGTCTTTTTGATCATTTTCCGAAATGTCATCGTTGTGAACGTGCGCCGTGAAGACTTGCAGTTTTTCTTCCCAATTTTTGCTCTTCTTCAAATTCACGTTCATCTACAATCGTGTAAATAAAATTGTTGTTACGGTACTTGATGAAAATAATTCGCGTAAATTAAGAGTGAAATGCAAACAAATCCATTTAGCTGAAGATTAATAAGAGAATGCGATAATATATATATATATATATATATATATATATATATATTTAAAATAGCCCACTTATAAAATTAAAATCAAGATTATTTGTTAGAGTATGAGTCTTAACGCTCCTGCGCGTTAGTCCAAGCGAGCGTCTTTTAAATTTGATTGTAATTGAATTTTGTTATTTCATTATGTTTCTAGCGTCGATAAATTGAAACAAACAAGACAAACATTGCAGTGTCGACGATATTTATTAAATTACCTCTGAAATATTCACTGGATAGATGACATTCATAATGCCAATTAAAACGTTATTTTGAAACTCGTCGTCGTTCTTAAAGATGAATTGTTGACTTAGAACGTTTTTCATGTGGTCCGGTGCACCATCGATGAGAATCAATTGGCATTGTAGATCTCTCTCCTCCAATCTTCTTGCCAATTCAATGGCGATAATAGCACCGAACGAGTAGCCAATTATTGTCAAGTGTTTTCCTTTCTCGCTCCTCTCTAATACATGCTGAAGAATTTTAATAATATTTATCAAAAATTTTCTCACTCGAATTCCTAGACGACTGTTCAAGCCTATCGCGACGATGGCTGTATTATTATTTCAAATTTGTATGCAATTTGTATGCAATGGGACCGATGATAATTTATCCAGCGATATTGTAAAATTGAAATATTTGAATTTTTTCGCTTGTTTGTTGCTCTCAAATTATGAATAATTTAATCATCCTAATCTGTATAATTACCATTGATTGCATTATTTCATTATCGGCATTAGTTGATTAGGCATTGCAGCAAATACGAATCGTATCGAGTCCTATTAAATTTAATAATTTTTCTCTAAATTTTAAATGTATTTAAAAATCTTGACAGAGCCCCTTAAGAATTGTCTCGCGCATGCGGAAGTATATCGAATAAGTTGGATCATTTGGTCAATTGACAATAATTTATCAGCAATTAGTCGAAGAAAGTAAGAGGAAGATTCGTGCTATAATATATTGCGAGTGAGAGTGACGGAGTGAGAGGGTTTGGGATTGGGGATGGGATGAGGGGTGTGTATTAGCGATTAAAGAAATAGGACGGAACGTTATGATATATTACTGGTAAAAGTTGATCGGCCGTGTCGAAAATAGATCGTTGGCTGCTTGTTTCACACGTCTGTAGACACGTGGCGGGTGCTTTAATATTTCTCGCCAAGCCGGTGAAAACGGTGCTCAAGCCTTCGATGCCTGGGACGAGGAAGATCTCCGGCTTATCGATTTCCTGCTTAGTCGGCAGCCTTACGCACGTCTCGCGATTAATATCCTCGTAACCAATGACCCGTTGAAGGAACAACTTCATGCCCGTCAGCACTTCGATTTTTTTGGACTCTTTGAGGCTCGTTTTCGCGCCCTCGCCGTCCGATTTCCCCATCAGCTCTTCAATTTTAGCAAAGTTCAATTTACGAATCTCCTGCGCCGTGAGGAAGACGTCGAATTCGCGCTCCAGCGTTTGCTTGATTTCCACGGCCATCATGGAGTCCATGCCGAGCTCGACCAGCGACGTCTCGTGGCTCACTCCGCTCAAGTTAGCTCGACCTGCGAATAAATCTACCCTTACATAACAAATTCTCGTAACGCCCCGTATCTACCAAGCTGAGACGCAACGTTTATTCATCATTGAATCGGGGCTAATGGTTATTATGAAGAATGATTATTACGTCAGATGGACGAGGAAATGCGTTTTATCGCTCATTGTAAATCACGCAAGATATTAAGCGAAATTATCCATAATAGATCCTTCTTACCCATAATACTAAGAACAGTGTCGACCATGTTCGTAGAGCCGCTACTCTCCGATCTTTTCTCGTCGACGACGATGCTGGACACGACGGGCCGCTTCTGATGGAGGAATTTATCGAGCTCCTCTAAACACGAAGTTATCCTCTGCTGGCCCATGCCGGTGAACTCGAATAGGTTTGATTTCTCGTTCATCGCTGCTGCTATACCGACGTCGTCGACGATGCCCCATTGTACGGCTAAGGCCGGTAAGCCTTCCTCAACTCGTTTCTCGCAAATGCGCTCCATCACCTAATAAATGCCTATTGTATATAATAGGTTATCATGCCGAGGGATTGTCAGTTTGCGTACGATTGTCGAAATTAAAAATTATTCGCTACCCTGAGTCACTCGTCATTTTGATCACCTCGATAGCATTGAATTTTTTTTCTTCTTCTTTTTCTTTTCTTTTTTTTTTTTTTTTTTTTTTTTTTTTTTTTTTTTTTTTCAACGGCCAATCGATATAAACGAATTGCGATCAAGGCGATAATTAAAATTGAAATTCGCTTGCGCGTTAAATGAAGTTAAATCGATGTTTAAAAGTAATACTTGGCTCATCGTTGCTAACAAATGGGACACGATAGACAATCAGCCATTCTCGCATAATAATAATAATTATAATAATAATAATAATAATAATAATAATTATTATTATTATTATTATTATTATTATTATTATTGTTATTATTATTATTAAAGGAACGATCAAACGTGTCGTCCGTTTTAATAAAGAACTCGAGATATTTTTACTATAAAGTAATTTTCATTACTTTAACTCACCGAGTTAGCCATTGCGTAATTTGTTTGGCCGGCGTTTCCTCTGCCGCAAGCAACCGACGAAAATACGACAAAATGTCGCAATCGCGGGCACATTTGCCTCGTCAGGGTATCAAAGTGTCGGGTGGCCCAAGCCTTCGAGATAAACGTTTCCTCGAACAATTTTGCCGTCTGATTCTCCCAAGTAGCATCCTTCACCACCGCAGCCAAGTTAAATACTCCATCGACAGGACCTAATTCCATCGCTCTCTTAATCATCGATTGGCAATCCTCGACTTTCCCCGCGTTCATTCCTTTCATTATAATTACTTTAATGCCATACTTTTCCCACAGATTCATACGCATTTTCTGATAGCCAGACTTTACTCCGCTGCGAGACGTAAGTACAAGATTTTTGGCGCCCCGCAATATCAGCCAATCAACTAATAACATTGTATAATATAACGTCATTGTCATTAATGATTAATATAAATTTATGACAAGGAGTTGATGTTTTTATGGTTGTTATTTTTTCTCTTTCTTTCTTTTATTTTTTTTTTTTTTTTTTTTTTTTTTTTTTGGATTTGGTTCGTTTGAGATAATAAAACAAGTTTTACCTAATTCGAGACCGAAGCCGCCGAGTCCACCCAAAACTATATAACTGCAATCCTTGTGACAGTAATAGCGTGGTATAGCTGTAGTGAGCGCTCCCATTGATCTATCCAATGATTGATCTTCATTTCGCATTTTGACAATAACTTTGCCAATATGCTTGCCGGCGGCCATATAACGAAATGCCGCCTCTACTTGATCCTTTTCGAAGACGGTCCTAAATAGAGGCAATGCAGATCGTGTAATGCACCGATAATAATCAGAGTATAATTTAACCCCAAGGAAACTAATTCATAAATCCAGTCGAGTATATGTTGTAAAAGAAAAAGAACGCTTTCTCTCACTTTCGTGAAACGACGTATTTCCCACGACAATAATACATAATAAAAGCAAAAAAGAAAAAAAGCAGACAATTTGTGAAATCATACAAGAACTTAAAACAATCTGTATAGAAATAGTCTGAAATTCTAAAAATTAAATATCAAAGAAATAATAATAATTGCATGAAAATTAACGTATCGAGTGTATGATTTTAACGTTTATATTGCATTTTTAGCTATTGAGGGTGTTCAATAAGATTCAAACTTACAACGTTTGTTGTTAAAAAATTAAGTAAAGCTTTTCGAAAATGTGCCGTATGAGGATGCGAGTGCGAGGATAATATTTCCAATAACGTAAAAGCTTAACTTTGTATTAATCTATTATGAATTGTCCGACATGATTTCGAATAAAGATTGTATCAGCAGCCCATTAATTACCCATAATATATTTAATAAATCTACTATTCCAAGGAAAATCCGATGTATTATTTAAGAAAGAAAAACAAACGAAGAGTATTTTTCCACAAACATTAAGCGATTAGAATATGATCTTATGAAAATTCATCGATAAATAACAGCTTTGACGGTGTAACAAGTGCCTTAGCTAATCATCAACTTCTTCATTGACTTAAAAGTATTATTATCATTATTATCATTATTATTATTGGTATCATTATCATTATTATCATTATTATTATTATTATTATTATTATTATTATTATTATTATTATTATTATTGAATAACATTGTTAGATCACCTTATGAGAGGCTTTACGGCTCCGCTCTCGAGACCCTTGTACATAAGATCGTAAAGCTCAATTTTTTTGGCTCTTGGCTCGCTTATCAAGTGATCCAACATTATGCCGCTAAAGCTGATTTCTCGTAAAAATACTTCCATGCCTAAGGGATTATTGGAGGTCAAATCGAATTTACCGATTTCGAGAAATCGGCCACCCCATGCTAAGCAGTTGACGGACGCCTGAAGCTTCTCTTCGGCAAGACTGTTTAGTACAATATCCACTCCACGGCCCTTTGTTTGCTGAATAATCATTTGTTCGAAACTAATGTCGCGCGAATTGCCGATATGATCGTCGGGAATCTGCGGGAAGTTCTTACGTATGAAGTTACGCTTATCCGGTGTTCCGACGGTCGTGAAGATCTCGCAGCCCTCGTGAAGCGCCAGATTTATGGCAGCCTGGCCCACGCCACCTGTGCCCGCGTGAATCAGCACCTTGTCGCCCTTCTTCATCCTACCTATACAAAGTAGATGATTGATCGCGTATGCTTAGCAATTTGCTCATTATGCGTGATGTCAGGAGGAGCCGCAAAGGATTCGTGGAAAGAGCAACGTTCGTATTATTAAACATCAAGGCCTAATTGCCATACAAAAAACATCCCTTTCGTGTCACAATGAAATTCTACTCTTAATTAAATTGAAACAATAATTAAAGTGATAATGCCGTTAAAATATCGATTGATATTTGTTGCCTCGACCAACTTATTGCAACAAATGCTCGAATTATTAAATAGTATTTTTGGCCATAATCTTGCTCACCGACTCGCCCACGCGTGTGCGAGTAGATATGCAAATAGAAAATATATGGATTCTCGCCGCCATGACTCCGGTACGATTAATCAAGCCAATGCGATCGCGCGACGCGTGACTTATCATTTATATAATAAACATATTAATCCAAGGATCTTACCCCTCATATAGAGCGCATAATAGCTGGTTCCATAAACGCAGGGTACTGTCGCTGCATCCTCCAAGCTCCAATTTGCCGGTATTTCCCAAGCGAGATCGCGATCGGCTATGCAAATATTGGAGAATCCGGAATTTTTCAATAATCCCATGACACGCTTTCCCGAGGCATCGGTACCGCTGTACTCGAAGCCGATAAAAGTCTCCTCTGCCTGTCTCGCGCTGGAAATATCTTCGACCAGCTTACCAGTGGCCATCATAACATCCCTAAATAAAATACGAGTATTATATTATATTATATTATATTATTTATTTATTTATTTATTTGTTGAGACGATGTTTCCTTTAACATAAAAAGCACTTGCTTGAAATTGACGGAGCAATAAGCGATGCTAACTAGATCTTTATGTTGATAGCCCATTGGAATGGGACCTTGGAACCAAGTGAGGGAGCTCAGGTCACCGCGAATACATTGATTTATTAAGCAGTGCTGCACGGGATGTGGCTCCAGCGCTGCTATTGGTAAATATCTGTAAGTACCCCAGACATCGGTGTCGCGAAGCACAGATACCGCCAAGTCTTTTTGAATCTGCTTGGCGTATAAAGGATGGGACAAGGAAAATTTCGGGGCATTTGGATCCTGAATTAGCAATCCGCGGACCATTTCACCGCCAGCTTCTTTCCTCAAACTGTTAATAAAGCCCATTAGACCTATAAATAACGAGGGCACATTAATAATTAATCGTAAAATAATAATTATGATAATAATGGGAATTCTTCAAATTCATTCGTCAAATTTTATAAAATCATAATGCATATTGGTCGTATGAATGCAAGAATTATCATTGGCTTACACCTGATGTGTTTGATCTACTATTATTTATAATCATTAACGATAATTGTTAGATAGAATTGCACGTTGGATAATTTGTTATATCGTGTTTTAAATAATACGCCGTATACTAATGCCGTTTATAGTATAATCGAATGAAAAAAAAAAAAAAAAAAAAAAAAAAAAAAAAAAAAAAAAAAAAAAAAAAAAAAAAGGAAGAAGAAGAAATTTAATTTCCACTTGTCAAAAACATATTTTTAAAAATTAACAACACAGTTAGTCCAACATTACGTTTTATAATTGAACAAATGATAAAGAAAAACTGAAAACCATAGTAATGTAAATTATCTTTAAACGAGATCATTTTTAATAAATATTCTTAGTTTTACGTAAACGCTTGAGTACATAAATATGATATTTACTTCAAAGATAAATAAATGTTGTTTTTTTTGTTTTTGTTTTTTTTTTTTTGTTTTTCATCATTCACGATACATGGCAAATTGAGAAATTAATTCAATCAACGTTAATATTATTAGATTTTTCTCATCGGATTTACATAACAATGTTTTACAATACTCTAAATATTGAAATTTTTAATTTTAAAGAATATATATATATATATATATATATATATATATATATCTTTATTTAATTCATTAAATACTTCATTGTATAACCTGAAAAAAATATTAAATATATGTATCTTCATAGATTAGAGTGTACTTTGGCATTAATTTTGCATAATCAGTAACACGTGGGGATTTGGGATTCTGTCGTTCGTAAGATTTCATAATGAGTGACATACCATTTTCAACATCTCGTCCAACAAAAAGAATTCTTGCTGATAAATTATTTTCCCTTTTCAATTCGTCCGTCATTATTTTTCGCATATCTTCGATCCATTTAAAATCATCGTTTGTCACGTGCACAACTGAAATGTTTTTCGCCACTTGCTTCACTCGTTTTCTCAACAAAATAAACATCTCATTTCCATGCTTCTTCTCCAAGATAATATCTAATTGCTCGTCATCGGCGGCGATTTTGATATTATTCCTAAGTACATCGACCTCGCGCGTTAACAAGAAGCCGCCAATTTTTAAACTTTGCAAGAGCAATTTCAAATTGTCCTTACGGCTCTTTATTAATAATTGACTGCCAATCGTCACAAGGGCATTCGCGCCGCTGCTTATACTTTTGGAATTTGTGACCGACAGACTCGGCGACAAATCATTCAACTCCAATGTGTTCGTTGCATTTATAATGGTGATGTCATCTTGGATTAGGGGAAAATCCTTGAGACATTTGACTATTAAGGGAGACAAGAGGCCTTCGACGGTTACAGCATCGCTCTCCTCTACAAGCTCGATTGTTTTCACTTTAATAGATAAGTGATTTTCCATTGTGATGTGCATTACGAGTGTTATTATTTCCAAAAGCGTCGCTACGGCCCCATCCAAGTGCGGAACGAATTTGTATTCTTCGATAATGGGAATGTTCACTGGTTTTCTGCGCGCGATGGCGCTCGCCTTTAAGCCACGGATTTCTACACCACCGCAACTGATTGCGTCGAACAGGGCATCGACGCGAACCGGAAGCTCTAGAAAATATCGATAAGTCATTGATACGAAAAGTTCGAGTTCTTTTTAGCGTTTCGTTAAATGATCGGTTAATGTTCGATTAGATAATCGTGCTGTCGCGTTGGTAGTGTCAACGCATAATCGTTTCAAAGGATAATCTAGCGAATGATGGTCTTACCTGTATCTTCGCCACGCACCTTTATTTGCCCAAAGTGAGCCTTTGTGTCGATAAGGATTTTCTTTATTCTCGTTGGTATTAATAGATTGCGCGAGTCCTTGTGAAGGATTTGCATCTGTAGCATATTATCCATAAACGAGGGCCAATCGTTTCGCCACCAAATATGACCCTTCGAGCCGTCATACGTGGCGCTCTTTATACTCTGGTACAATCCAGCATAATAATAACCACGGAGTTTCAGCTCCTTGTACACGTCCTCGGAATTGAGCACCTCTTCGTCTCCTTCAACGCCGTTCTCTACGTTTTGCACGTAAGATCTTTCAACGGCTGGATTCGACGAGGTACGAACGACACCGTCCACTACTGCCGCGCCACCCTCGACGATTTCAAATCTTCCCGTGCCTAATAATTATTATTAAGACTTAATTAAATCTCATCGATAATCTTGATAAATAATAATAATTATAAATTTAGCTATTTCGCTTTCACCCGCTTATCCCCAGAAGCCATTTTTTAGAAGATTTTTTTAATGGATATATACAATAAAGCCAATTTCTTACAACTCTAAATGTTAAATGAAGCTTTATAGCTAATGTGATTCGCGTTTTTCTCTCACTTTTGCTCTCACTTTTCCTCTCACTCGACGACTCTCGCCCTTAGAGATTAGAACGAATCGCGTAATAAAAGTGAAATATCGTCGAATATAAAAGTGGTGGCTGCAATTCCACTCCTACCTCTCTGAACGGTAATGACGAATTCGATGAAACCGCCTTGTGGGATGTTTGTCGCCCTCAAGAACCTCACGTCTTCGAAAACTACGGCCTCGGGCTGTTCGTCGTGCATCATTGTAAAAGTCTCCCATACCAGTTGCACGTAACCGGTCGCTGGAAAAAGATTCTTCTTGTCGATAATGTGACCGGCCATGTGCTCGAACTCGGAGTCGGACAGCGAGACCTTAACGATACGCTGGCTAGATGCGGCCTTACGTTGGGACTCGTAGGAAGTGACGAACCAGTTATCCGAGTGCTCCCACTTGATCAGCGGCGATATCATTGGCGTCGCTCGACTTACCGGAAACTCAACGGGAGGGTAAAGATTAGCTAAATAAATGCATAATTATTTTTTTTTTATTATCGTCGAATTTTTTCTTTTCAGTTTTTTGTGTTACAATTGTGTTATTATGTTCAGGGGTTTGGAGTTTTGGCTTTATAGCGTGAACATCGACAATCGGATATTCCGTGTACTAAGTGTGAAATAAACAACAATAGCAAAAACAAAAAGTAAAAACAATAGCAATAGCAATAGCAATTGCAATAGCAATAGCAAAAACAAAAACAAAAACATAAACAAAAACAAAAACAAAAAGAAAAACAAAAACAAAAAGAAAAAGAAAAACAGAAAGAAAAGCAAAACGATAACAAATCAAAACAAAAACAAAAAAAGAAGCGACTTGTGCGTATTTTGCCGATAAATAATTTTCGCGTCTTAAGTACTGGGAATAATAATAATAATAATAATAATAATAATCTTGCTTAGCATTTTCTTTTCAATTTACCCAATTTTGGATGAAGACCAGCGACAAACATCTTCCCAAGTCCTTGCAAAAGTACTTCGATGTTATTGCTGTGTCCGCGCTGCGTCAACGAGATATTTATCACATTTGGATCGAGCGATCGCCGAAGAATAGCTTGTAAGAGGCCGTGTGGTGCAATTTCAATGGCAATGGCGTTCTTTGGTATCAGTGCCGACGTCTCCTCAAAATACACCGAGCCGAGCACATTGTTAGTGTGGTATTCGGCTGACGACAATTTGGCTTCCGGAGTATCCTGTTGATCTATCGGCACCGAAGTACTCAGCCACCTAGAGCTGCGTGTCTTGGGATGAGGAATAATTTCCTTCATAAAGGAGTAGAGGTTACCTCGGGACGACGCTATATAGCGACTGTGATACGGAATGTTGCTGCATGCGACTTCCTTGGCGAAGATCTTCTTCGACTAAACATAATATTTTCGCGCTTATTACATAATTCGTAAGTAGCAAGAATGTATAATTCTCTATCTATCTATCTATTTCTATCTATCTATCTATCTATCTATCTATTTCTATCTATCTCTATTTATGTGATTTTTTACGTAATACATGATATAAGCAACGGCGTATTAATCGTAACGATAAATACTGAATACTCGTACTATCGAAATTCTACTCTCCGTATCTCAAATTAATAATACACACTCTATGAAAAATAGCAAGTATGCAAACAATAATAATAATCATTCTATTAAATTCAGCTCCTTCCAACGAAGCGACCATTAAAACAATAATAATAAGTAAATTCTTTCTTATTAAGAATTAAGAGAATAATAACGCGGACACTAATTGCTTATCAGCACCGAAATCGCACTCCAAATACTCCGTCTAATAAATAAAAACGAGGCCACTTAGCGATTTATCGACTAACTAAGTGTCCTACCTCTTACCTGCAAGTGCGCAACGAACCTCTCGATGGATTCGATGGGGCCGCTGATGGTTGCGCTATCGGCCGCGTTATGACAGGCGATGTCAATGTCCGGCGGGCAGATGTTCTTGAGCTCGTTGTAGCCGATGCCGACGGCCGCCATCGCGCCCCGGATGCACTTCATCTGCTGGGAGGCGAGGCCCCGCGAGTAGGCGCACAGTATCATCTGCTCGGCGGTGAAGCAGCCATCGGCGTAGCCGCAAGCCAACTCGCCCACCGAGTGGCCCATCACATAGTCGGGCTCGATGCCGACCGAGCGCAGCACGTCTATGAGGCCGATCTGCAAAACCGGGATTAACTTATTATTTCGTGTGTCGTGTGCTGGACGAGGACGAGGTTTGGCGCTCGAGAGTAGTTTTGTCGGCCTGTTTCAAGCTACGATTACAAATTTACCTGAATGGCGGCTATTCCCACAAACGCGTTCACTATGTTGTCGAATATGTCCTTGTCCTTGCTCGTGAGTACGCGATAAATGTCAACGCCTAGGGGTTTCAGAGCTACGTCGCATATCGTTATGGATTTGGCGAATATCGGTACATTCAGTAGAGCCTCCCCTAAGGTTCATAAATTATCATTTATTCGGTGGAACTGTCGGATAAGTCGAAAAGAGATAAGTCTTGAAGAATTGCCTAATGATTCGTAAAAAATTTTTTCTCTTATGTTGACTGTTTTCTTATGTTCGTGAGAACTATAAAGGATTTCAAGGATTATGAAGAGGAGTGAAACAAAATGTCTGGATAAAAAAAGAGAGTTGTTGATGTTATTTTTCGTTTATCGCTACATCGCTGTACGCGTATAATTCAATTATTCGATTGTTCTTTCGAGGCAGAGAATTAAAGACATTTTTTTTTTGTTTTTTTTTTTGTTTTTTTTTGTTTTTTTTTTGTTTTGTTTTTGTTTTTTTTT